AAATGGCAAACCCTCTCGTAGAACTTGTCCAGGTCCGTGGCCAATGTGGCCGTGTCCAGTCCTCGAACTGCTGCGTAGTGAGCGAGCATCTGATGGATCCAACCTGCCCGATCACACTCACGATCCTTGGCCCCCCAAAACACAGGGGAGGCGTGCTGCTCTTCCCACTCCTTGGCCATGTCGCGCCTGACCTTGCCCCAGACCCTGAGGATGGAGCATATGAGGGCGATGGGCCTGACCCCAGATCCGTCTGGCTTGGAGAGGAAGACCATGATTGTCGGCCATCGCTCAGGCAAGCGTGGGTCCGCCTCCCACATCACCATGACGTCGATCAGCCTGAGGATGAACTGGTCATCTAACAACAAAAACGAACGTGGGTTGACGCAATCCACACCAAGCCCAACGTTGTGACCGAACGAACGGCAGGCCTGTCGAACTCTATCAAGTGTGGGGCGGGGAAGGTCGGAGTTGTTCGCCATCGTGTGCTGCTGGTCCGAGATGTCCTGCTTGGCGTCATCCCAGTACTGCGACCACTCCTCCACCATGGCATCGACTGCACCATCTCCCTGCAAAGCCCAACCCTCGGGGGCCTTGGGCCCAGAGGCCTGGGGCGACTGCTTGATGAACCTGTGCGCCTTGCGCCCCCCAGCCTTGACTGAGGCCTGGGCCCACTCACGCCATTCGTGGAGTTCCGCTTTGGCAGCCGCTGCCGAGGCCTCCTGGGCCGCGTCGCTGACTTTGACGCAGAGCGTGTCCAGGTCCTCCCCACCTAGCTCAATCGTGTGCCGAATCTGGTGGTAGCCTAGCCCGATGGTGTCAAAGCCGTGCAAGGACGCCCCGTCGATGGCATCAAGTTCTTCAAGCAACCCGAGCAGCACCTGCTGTCCATCCAAAGAACACGAAGTCATTGGCATTCGCGAAGTTGCCGCCCTGGCACCCCGCTTCTCCTCCTCCAGCGAAACTCCGAGACTGCCTGCTGGGCAGGGCGCGCCCTCGAAGAGGGGGGGCCGTGCGGAGGCGTTCGGAGTCTCAGCCTTCTCAGGTCGGAGCAAGTGGGCCCAGGCGAGGGAAGCCGAGGTCCCCGACGAGGGCGCAATCGAAGTACACGAACCGATCTGCGTGGTAGGCGCCGTGCAACCCACCAGCTCCTCCTCCAGCCGATGCGGCGCCTCGCCCGCTGGGCGGGGCCCTTCCACTCCGAGAGGGCCCGCGGGGGCAGGCGCCGTCTCGGCCTTCGCAGGTCGGAGCGAGTGGGCCCAGGCGAGGGAGGCCGTCGTAGCCTGAGGCGCGGTAGCCGAACCCACCGAGCTCGTCGCCCAATTCGCCATCTGCCCGAACGTGTGGCCCTGGGCGTAGTCGGGCAGCCTGACGCTCAGCGTGTCGTCTGGCGGCGCTGCCGCCCTGGCCACCATCTCCTTGCCTGCCTCCAACAAGCCACATCGGAGCCCTTGTGCACGTCGGATGATCGAGGCGAGGGACCTCCATGTCCGCATGACCTCCCCGCTGCCTGACACAGGGGCCTTCCTCATGACCTCTGCCAGTGGAACGGCCTTCCTCACGAAGCCGCCAGACCTGCCCTTGTAGGGTTGTGCAGCCCTGCCCACAAGGTCGAACTGCCAGCATAGCTCCTCCTCCAAGTTCGCGATCCACTCCTTCCAAGCGTCCTCCAGCCCCATCGACGGTACTGCTCCTGGCTCCCAAGACCAGGTGAGCTCGATGGGGTGGTTGAGGCAGCCTATGGGACGCTCAGTGGGGAAGACCTTCCACGTCTGACGAACGTGCACAGGAATGTCCAGTGAGGGTCCCGTGAGCTGCATGCTGATGGCTACGTGCGGCGACATTGGAGCGCCGTAGAGGGCCCTGACATCCGAAACGCACGAGGCGAGCCCCTGGCTGACAATAAAGAAATCTATCTTCGAGCCCTCCGGGGCTGAGAAGCACGTCGGCCCAGGCGTGGCGATGACTGTGGCCTGGAGCATGTCGGCCCACTTCAGGATCCTCTCGTCGAACGGGTCCTGATTGAAATCACCACCGATGACCCAAGGGATTCTGGACCTGCGCAACTTGCCGCCAAGCTGCGACATCATGTCCCAGAACGCAGAGTAGGCCACCTTCTCAACGTGGCCGTAGACCGACATGAGGTACATACCGTGAGGGAAAATCATGTTAGCCCTGACTATCTTGAGGCGCGGGCCGAAAGCGGCGTCCACCCCGAACCTCTGGAGGCCGAGCCCCGCGAACTCCACGTAGGATGACACCGCGGTGAGGACTCCCGCCGAGCTCTCAGAGGCCTGAGACCCTGTGGCGCGAGCCGCGCCGAAGGCACCATGGTAGCCCCGAGACCGAAGCCACCCTGCAGCCGAACGAATACGTGATGCATCTTTGAGCCGATGTTCTTGACACAAAAGAACGTGTGGCCTGGTGGCGTCACCCCAACCCCTCTGCCAGTCGATGGCCGTCTGGAGCGAGCTCCAGGAGTTGGCGTTCGCAGACCAGAATCTCCAAGTCTTGTCCTTGCGGTCCTTGACCTTGGAGCGGTCAAAGCCTCTTCTGTCGCTTGCCGAGGCCGAGGGCCGCTGCCGCTGCCGCGACCTTCCGCTTGAGAACCTCCTGGTCCTCGGGCCTGGCCTGGCGGAGCTCCACCGTGGCCTTGCGCAGCTCCTCTGACTTGGCCTCGAACCCGTCCGCGCCGAGCAGCTCCATGTCGATGTCGTCGTCTCCAGCGGGCTGGTCGACGTGAACAGCGGCGCCTGCGCCAGCACCTGAAGGAGGCAGGCCACCGTGCTGAGCAGCAGAAGGAGCCTGGGCCCGCAGCATCTCCATGAGGATCTGACCTTGGGCCCCCTGGGTCTCTGCCTGAAACTTGCGGTACCAATCCTGGAACTCACTGCCCTGGGCCAAGACGGCTTCGGGGTCAAGCTCATACGAAGGTGGAGCCCTTGCCGCCGCAGGTGCCGATGGGGCCGCGGCTGCCGCTCCTGCAAGCTTGGCGACCTGTTCAGCTGCTTGCCGTTGTAGCTCCTCAACTCGGGCCTGAGCTTCGTCTGCAGCGGCCTTGAACTTGTCAATCTCCTGCTGAAGCTTGCCCTGAATGTTCTTGAGCTCCTCCTCCTTCTGCGAAGCCTTCTCGCGCCAGCTAGCCGCCGAGGCCTTGGCGCGCGTGATCTTCTGGGTGATGGAGAGCTGCTGGAGCTCGGGAGACCGTGCCTGCGTGATCTTCTCCTGCAGCCTCGCGATCTCCTCATTCGCGAACTTCTTGGCAGCTTCCGACGAGGACTTGCTCTGGGCCACCTTGCGAAACGTCTCCAGGGACTGCCTGGCATCCTCCAGAGCCTTGGCCTCAGGGTCCTCCTCGTCGGCTGCGGCAGCCGGCTGCGGCTGCTTCGTGGTCGTCGTGGACTGGAGCTGGGCCAGCTGCTTCTTAATGTCGGCAAGCTGCTTGGCCAAGCCCTTCTCGCCGTCCTTGCTGGAGCCGTTGGCGCCGCCTCCACGGGGCCACTGCTGCTCCTGGCCGCCTCCCTTGCCAGCAACGATCTTCTCGTGCTCCGCCTTGGCGGCCTTCGCGATCCTCTCGGGGGCCTTGGCGCCGCAGCGGCAGACGAGCCGCGACGCCCAGTTCCCGTCTCTCCCGCAGCGCCCACATCCCCACGGGGGGGAACGGGGGCCAAGGAGCACCTCCTTGCGCGCATTGCTCCCCATGCCACGAACGTGGTGAGAGAAGCGGGCGGCCCGTACGCCCCTATGGTGCGGGCAAAGAACTGATCGGGCTCAAGAGCCCTCGCACTGCCGCGGACTAGCGGTATCCGTGAAAGCCAATGCGGGCTCAGCCCGCAACAGCATAGCCTTGAGCCAAAATGGCTACGGAGAGAAAATCATGAAGATGGGAAGATGAGGAGGAGGAGGAGGTGAAAGAGGAGGAGGAGACCCACGGGGATGTACTTTGGACTGTCCGAACCGCCTGATCCCGTCGGTGTCTTCGCCGTCCTCGCCGACGACGGGCGGCGGACGGCGGGCGGCGGACGGCGGGCGGCGACGACGCCTGGCACTAAGAAAATGCCTGCGTAAGACGAGGCCCGAGACGACGACGACGACGACGACGACGACAACGAACCGACCGACGACGACGAACCGACGACGACGAACCGACCGACGACGACGAACCGACGACGACGAACCGACGACGACGAACCGAAGACGACGAAACACCCGACGACGACGACGACGACGACGACGACGACGACGACGACGACGACGACGACACGACGACGGCGGCGGCGGCGACGACGACGACGACGACGGCGGCGGCGGCGGCAGCGGCGGCGGCAGCAGTTGTGGTGGCGGTGGCAGTAGTGGCGACCCCGACGACGACGGCGCATCCGCAGTCAGTGGCCACCAGGCTGAGGTGGCGACGAGTCATCCGCCTTGCGCTCCGCGCGTCAGGGTGAGCGGCTACTCCAAGTCAGCCTCGAATTGTCCAGGTGTCGAGCGCGCCAGGAAGGGGCCCGAGGACATGCATCCCAACACAATGTCTCCGCCCCCCCTCTACCCTCTTGCACCTTCACGTCCCTCCGTCCTCCTTCCACCGTGTTCCTCCTCTAGTACATCCCCCTCCTCCTCTTCAAGTGTGCCTCCCACGTCCTCGTCCTCCTCTCCATCCCCACCCGGTGCTTCCCCAATTCGCGCCCTCCTCTCTCCTCCTCCATCATCTGCCTCATCAGTCTTCATCGTACTCGCGGTTGCCGTCTCCATCGTCGCCCTCCTCCTGCGTGCTCCCCTCTCCCCCTCCACCCTCCTCGGCGCAGGCTGTGCAAGAGGAGGCGAAAGGAGATGAGGAACAGGAAGGTAGAGGAGGAGGAGGAGGAGGAGGAGGAGGAGGAGGAGGAGGAGGTGGAGGACGGTGGAGGACGAGGGAGGCACTGGAGGAGGGGGGGGGTGAGAAAGCTGGCGAAAGCACGAGGAGCAAGGAAGAATAGGAGGGAGGCACTGGAGCAGGCGAGAGGATGAGGAGGGAGGCGCTGGCCGTGTGCATGTACTCGGGCCTCCAGTGCCAGGGGCTCACGCTGCCCAGCGTTCTGGCGCTGCCAGCTGCCGTCTCGAGTACGGCCAGGGTCTCCCTCCGCCCAGAGGCTGGCAGTCCTACCGGGCCTGGCCTGCGGCATCTGCAGCGCAGGCGGGGGGGGGGGCGTGAGGAGGAGGAGGAGGAGAATTAGAACGATAGGGATGCTCTGTAGATGCATGGACGGGGAAAAGGGAGAAGATGAAAGAGAAGGATGAGGAACGGAAGAGTAGAGCGAAGAGGAGCTGGAGGAAGAATGGCGAGGAGGAGCAGGATGGCGAGGAGAGAGGAGAACGGCCATCAGGACGAGAAGAAGGATCATCATACTTCGGAGGAGAGTGAGGGGAAGCTGTGAGAGGATGACGAGGGGGAGCGAGAAGGGAGACAACGATGAGGACAAGGAGGACGAGCAGGCGGACGAGGAAGCTGAGGAGGAGACGGAGGAAGAGAAGGAGGCGAAAGAGCAGGTGGAGGAGCAGGTGGAGGGCGAGGGAGTAGTGGAAGGAGGAGGAGGAGGAGGAGGATCAGCTCGCGCCATGTGAGCGCCACCTACGGCAAGCGCACCTTGACAGGGCACTTGGTGTCTCCGGCTCAGCCCATGCAGAACCTTAGAGGGCCGGTGCTCCGCGGGCCGGGGGGGGGGATTGGAAGGAGGACGAGGAGACAGAGACAGTTGGAAGAGCCAGAAGATGGGGGGGGAGGTGGGGTCAAGAAGGGATGGAGGGGGATGATGCCTGGGATGGCCCTCGATGGTCGGCGAAGGAAGACCTCCTCCCCTCTCCCTCCGAAGTGGCAGCGCGATCGGGAACCGATCCTGGAGAGCTAGGCCAGAAGCCCGCAGTTCCTCGGGGGCGCGACCGACTCGTCGCCGTACCTGGGAGGACGCCACGTCCTTCACACCAGTCCAGATCCTCTCCTCCTCCAGGGCGAGGCGGGAGTGAGGGAGGAAGGGGGGAGCAGGGAGGATGGAGGAGGGAGGAGGGGAGCAGGAAGGGGGGAGGTGGGAGCGCCACATGGGCGATTTCAAAAGGCAGGGGGCGGCGGTGATTCGCATTAGGCGTCTTCGATCCGCCGCCCCCTGTTGGCTTGCGACAGGAGTGTCTGGCGTCCTGAATCCTATCCCCTTGGCTTTGACTCGTTTCCCCAAAGAACTCTCCCCTGGGGCTTTGGCCCGTTCCGCCGGCCCTGCGGAAGACCCGGTTGCAAAGGTTTTCCCTGTCCCAAACGGCTTTCGTATGGCCTACATGGCCTCCAAGACTGCCAAGATGGCCCGCAAGTTCACCCAAGATGGTCCAAGATGGTCTCCGAGACGGCCCGAGAGTCCCAGATAGCTCCAAATCCGCCTGAAAAGCCTCCGTCCATAGGTGGTTTCAAAGTGTATGGCTTTTGCCATTTTCCAAGCTTCTGACGGCCTACGACGGCTCAAGAGTCCCAAAGATCGCCCCCGGAGCGCCCAAGAGGCCTCCAAGATGGCCTCTGGGATGGCCCAAGAAGCCCCCAAGACGGCCCCAAGAGGGCCCCTAGACGGCCCACGAGGCCTCCAAGACGCCCACGATGGCCTCCAAGACGGCCCTGAGGTCGGCCCTGAGGCCCCCCACGACGGTCCAAAGACGGCAACGAAGGGCCCCCCAGACGGCTGCCGACGGCGTCAGAGGGGCCAGGAACGCCCGAAGATGGCCAAAGAGGCTCCCCCAAAGCCCCCAAAGACACACAAGAGGGCCAAGGAGGCCCCCAAGAGGCCTCCAAGAGGTCTCCGAGAAGCTCCCACGAGGTCCCGAGGGTGCCCCAAGAGGCTCTCAAGAGGTCTCTTCCTCCTCCTTCACCTCCTCCTCCTCCTCCTCCTCCTCGTCTCTCTCTCTCTCTCTCGCTCTGTCCCACTCTCTTTCTCTCGTTCCCTCCATAATTCTCTCTCACTCTCTCTCTGTTAGTGTTTCTCTCTCTCTCTCTCTGTCTCTCCCTGTCTCTCTCCTCGTCGTAAGAGTTTCCCGAGTATCTGGGGGAGGGGAACACATGATTCGATTGTGTCGCAAAGCTGGGCCCAGCAGTCCCATTCCTAATGTTTCCTTTTCCCCCGACGTGTTCCCCGAGAGTGATTCATCGCAACTGGGGGGACACATTATACTCCGAGGCCCCCAGGAGGCCTCCAAGAAGTCCCAGGAAGCTCCCAGGAGGCCTCAAGAGTGCCCCCCGAGGTTCCCAAGATGCTCCCTCCTCCTTCTCGTCCTCCTCCTCCTCCTCCTCCTCCTCTTTCCCCTCTTCCTCCTCCTCCTCTTCCTCCTCAACCTCCTCCTCCTCCTTCTCCTCCTCCTCCTCCTCCTCCTCCTTCTCCTCCTAAGGCCCGAACCATCGGAGGCATTTCCTGGCGGTGTATGTTGGATTTCGGTTGTTATGAGATCTTCCTGCCAGATCCTCCCGAGCCTAGCGTGCCAGTCGCTAGGGCAGCGGCCAACCGCGATTCCAAGGAACGAGCCAGAGGGTGCCTGGCACAGGCGAGCCCGACAGCGGAGGACCAACGATCGTTTGCTGTTGAGAGTCGTTGCTGCTCAGACCCAACTGTTTAGTCACCATTCTGCCAAACGTCCGATGCAGGATGACTGGTTCTGTGAAATATGTGGTGCCGTCAATTCTTTGGGCTGACAGTTCTGTATAGGTGCATGCCAGATCAAATCAATGTCGTGCCCCATGGTCGCGGACATGCCCCTCCCCGCCAAGCCGGTCCTCATCGTCAGGGGCCTCAAGGGGGCGCGCAGTTCACTGGCCAACAGGCGCCGGTGGCGCGCGGAATGGTTCGAAAGCCGCGGGTCCGAAAGCCGCCGACGAGGGTCAACAGTCAGCCCGGCGGACGCCAACCCGACGCATGTCGAGGGGGAGACGTGGTCAGCCCGAGCGGCAGCGCCAGATATCCCCATGCACGCATTTCGCAGACGAAGAAGAGGAGGGCGGCAATGGCACCTCCATCTGAACATTCTGCCGGCGCTTCCAGCCCACGCAGTGCATCACCATCGTTTTCCGCAGCGACCGACGAACAAGCCTCAGAGGCCAAGAGAAAGCAGTGCATCACTCGGAGGCGCGCAGAGATGAAGGCTTTGGCGGTGTCCATCCGAATGAGGGAAGCTGCAGGGGACTCTGGGGATGAGGAGCGAGAACGGTGTGCGATCCTCCTCACTGCGATCCACCTCTGCCGCCCGTGGGGGCAGAAGAGCGCCAGCGGGCTGCGTTGCAGCGACTGCAGGCGCGTCTGGATTCGCAGGATCAGGCCATTCAACCCAAGGAGGCCGATTTCGACGCCCTTCGCGCGCAGCGAAAGCAATGCGTACACCGACATCAGCAGGCTCTTGCGGAGATCGAAAGCATGGAGATGGCGGGTCAAGAGCCTCTAGACGAGCTCGCAGCCATGGAGACCGATGCGGAGCAAGTCGAGACGGCAGGAGGAGAAGGAGCCAGCGCCGCATCGACGGCTTCGAAGGAGAGGGCCAACGACGACGCCGCAGCCGACGACGCCTGCGCAGCCAGCACAGATTGTCGACTCGTCAGTGGCGCAGCCTCAGATTCCGTCTCCATCGAGGAACCTCGTTGCTTCCCCGGAGCGCATGGACCCCACTGCGAGCAGTCTTGGCGCGCAGTTCGACACGCTGAATGCGACGCGCGAACCACTGCTGGCGGCGACGAGGGCCCCGCCGCAAGGAATGATTCCGCCGCCTCAGCTTCCAACGCAGGCGCGGCCGCGTGCGTCGGGGGATTTGGTTTTCAGTGGCGGGCGTCGTCTGCCACTGCCAGCGCTGGGCCGCGGAGCCCTCTAGGTGGCTCGACAGCGGCCAGCCGCGCGCGGCAGAGCGGCGCGCCTCGATCGCCGGCGCGCGGAAGGCGAGCTGCGCCCTCCGAAGCAGGATGGGGCGGCATGCCAGCAAGGGAAAAGCAGCCCGCCGAGGAAGAGCCCGCGGGGTAGCTCAGCCGCCCATCCCCGATCCCGATGGATCTCTCCGATCGCAGTCCAGGTGGGCCCTGCAACGCGTTAAGGTTGTCGAATGTGCAGAGCTCAGGTTCGCCGGGGGCAATTAAGGCACCCTGGTCGCGGGCTTCTGCAAGGCGATGGCAGGATTTCGAGAAAGGTTCCTGCGTTACCTTGCTCTCTGGCCCACTGACAAGCCGTTCCCCCCATCTTGCGCAATCCCCTCCGCGGTTGTCGTGATTCCATCAACTCTGGTGGGCGGGGGGGAGGAGGTGACAAGCCGCCGCAGCGGGCATTCGCCGCGCTGCCACTGCGCCCCTCGGGGCCCCCGCACCCGAGGGGATACGTTGCAGGAGTTCTCGACCTGGACGCACTGTCTCCCCCCCCCTGCTCGCGCCAGCATGGCTGCCGAGACCGCGGCTATGTTTTGGGCCGCGCCATGGGCTTCGCAGTCACAGCGCGCAGATGTTGGCTGTCACGCTGGTAGCTTTTCCGTCGCGAGGGCGGCGCCAGGTGGGGGAGGTCTGTCAGGAATTGCTGGCCTTTCTAGATGGCCCCTCGCACTCTTGCCCCAGCAGGCTTCTCCCGCATCCTTCCACCAGGTTAGGCCACATGTTGAAGATCCCCTGAATGAGATGGCAGATGCGATGCGTGCACATGCTGCTCTCAAGATAATTGACCCCCCCTGTTGGCCCGTGGGAAGTGTGGTCAGCTTGTCCCTTTGCGTCTGAGTGGGCATGGATAGACATGATCGATGTGCCCCGCCGTTCGCAGTTCCCCAGCCTGCGCCAAGGTGACTTCAACTTGGTCTCTGACGCTCCCAGCTCGAAAAACACATGCCCTCGGCGCTCGTCTCCCCTCGCGACCCCCCCTTCACCCGAAATGCCCTGGACGTTCTTCCTTCTGCTTCTTCTCCCGCGACGTTGCGCCGCGCGCTCGGCTGGCAGATAGAGAGCTTTCCCAACTATTCTCAATGTGCGCGCCATTGGAAATGGCAAGAAGGTCCCGGTGGGACTACGCGCCGCGGGGAGTCCGCGCATGCTTGCTGCGCAGTTCAAAACTGCCAAGATACAGATCGCGGGCACTGCTAGCTCTAGAGTTCCCCGCGCAGGGTGGAGTGACATCGTTGACTACCCAGTCTTGCATGGCCCAGCCACCTCAAGGAACTCACGGGCGCTCGCTGTGACTCAGGCACAATGCCCCTCGTGTACCGACACTGCCTGACAGCGCGGTCAAACGGCATCTGGTCACTGTTGCAGTTTCTGAGCCCCCTGTCCCGGCGTCAATCTTGCCGCGACTACCCCCCAAGGGATCGGCGGTGCGGCGCAAGCCGAAGAATCATTGATGTTCCATACGTGTTTGAAGGATGCTGGCATTTGCTTCTTTTCCGCCTTCCAACGGCCCGAAACGCCCCCCAAGATCGCCCCCAAATCGCCAAAGAGGCCTCAAAGATGGCCCCAGAATGGCCCAAGAGGGCCCCAAGACGGCCCCAAGAGGGCCCCAACACGGACCAACAGGCCCCCAAGACGGCTCAAATGGCATCCAAGACCCCCAAGATGGCCCCTAAGATGACCCTGGGGCACCCAAAGAGGGCCCTAAGTCGGCCCAGAGAGGCCCCCAAGACGGCTCCCGACGGCGCCGGACGGACCAGGAGCCCACCAAGACGGTCCAAGATGGCTCCAAGATGGCCCGAGACAGCCCAAAGGCATCCAAGATGTCTCCAAGACGGCCCAAGGAGACCTCAAGAAGGCTTCCAGGAAGGCCCGAAGATGCCCAAAGCACTGATGTCCCAAGGATGTTTGAAAGATGTTGGCATGTGTTTCTGTTCGGCCTTCCGATGGCCCGAGTCTGCCCAACAACCCTCCAGGGTCGCCCCAAGATAGCTCAAGAGGCCTCCAAAATGGACCCAGAACGGCCCAAGAGGCCCCCAAGACGGCCCCAAGAGGAGCCCCAACACGGCCCACGAGGCCCCCAAGATACCCAAGATGGCCTCCAAGACGGCCCTGGAACGCCGCGGACCGTTTCGCACTCCGCTGGGAGTGTCACGCTCCGCTACCACTGACGCGCGGAAACACATCGAGCGACATCCGATAGGATGGTGGCGATGAGACCTGTTCCTCAAACACGCAACAACCTCGAGCCGAGAGGGTGCCTACGGGTGAAAACAACACCCAAAATCAATGCAGAGAGTTCAAGATTCAATGGATCCTATAAACTGCATGAACACATTTACTCAGCGACGAGCCCTCTAGCGACACGCAGCCCGGCGACAAGGACAGGGCCGAGGACAAGGACAAGAGCAGGGACAGGGCGCACATGGGCAAGAGCAAAAGCAATGGACAGGACAAGGACACCGCCTAGGACAAGACCAAGGGCAAGGAAATGCCGCGCAAGGACAAAGACAACGCCAATAACAAGGGCACCGCTCAGGTCTAGGCAAAGGGCAGGGACAATGCCCAGGAAAAGGGCAAAGACAAAAAGGACAAAAGCACCGCTGAGGTCAAGAAGGACAAAAGCAAGGACAAGCACAACGAAAATAACAACGCTCCAGGCAAAGACAAGGCGGGCAAGGGCAAGGGCGGCAAGGGCAGGCGCCGCTGAGGAACCCGCCAGACGCCGAGTCCCGACGTCGCCCAGCCTTGGGCCCACCGCCCACCCCGACGCCCAGCCCCGGCGCTGAGCCCCAAGGGGGAACAACACACTGCATGAGCATGTAAAATGTCAGAAATCAATGCACCGTTTTCTACGGTCCCACTTTCAAGCGCAAGCGCCTCGCACAAGAATGAGGGTAGGTAGCGCAAGCGCTGGGAAATGTGATTGAAGTTTCTGCCACCAGCGTAATTCTGAACATGGTCCGAAAAGGATGAATGCCTGGACTGGCCATCTTTGATGTCAGCCAGCGCAAGCCCTTCGATGACGCCCTCCTCCTCCCTCCTCCTCCTCCTCCTCCTCCTCCTCCTCCTCCTTTTCCTTGTCCTCCTCGTCCATTTCCTTCTCCTCCTCATCATCATCAAATTCCTCCTCCCCCGCTTCCGTGTCCCCCTCCTCCTCCTCCAGATCTTCCTTTCCGTTAAATGTTCATGAAAACAGCTCGAAAACGTACGCGGCGGCTGGGCTGTGATCCGAACTCTCACTGCCCTGTCGACTGGTGCATTCAACGGCAAAAGCGGCGGCTACTGCTTCGAAGCGCTTGCGCTTGGAAAGGATTGGGCGTAGTCAGGGCTCGAAGCGCATGCGCTTGAAAGACAGAGGCGCGTGAGTAGGGGTGCGCGCCCCACGATGCGCGGCGCGCGGTTAACTTCGAGCCTCCGCACCGCCCTCGAAGACATGGCGCAACGCCTGCCCGGGCCCATGCAAAGTCATGTGCTGGGGTGGACTTACAATAAACCCTAAATGCCTATGCGGATATGTGGGGCCTTCGGCAGGCCAACGCGCAACATTCATGCAACACGTATAGCACCATTCTCAGCACATATAAGACAATAGCAACACGAAGGGCACAACAAGGCAAACTTTCAGAAGACTGAACTTCCCCTACCTTGAACCAACCTCCGCCGCTTCTGCCCCCAACTTGAAACATAACCGCAACTAGCACCCACATTTAACGAACATCAGAGAACTGAGCCAGCTATCTGTAGTAAACTAATACAACGTAGTACTCCTTCATACTACTTCGTACTACTTTCACATGACTCAACCGGGCTTGTTTTCGCCATCTCAGCTCCCTGATATATATCCCGCGCACCACTGCACCGAGACGTCGTCGAGCGAGGGGTCGTACACGGCGGCGGCCGCTGGACCCGCCTCCGCGGCGCACGGAGAAGCGACGACGGCGGCGGCGACAGCGACGACGACGGCGGCGGCGGCAACGTCGCGAGGGGGCCTTGGGAACGCCCGCCTCGGCCAGCGCGGGCGGCACGAACGCGTCGGGGCCGGCCCCGGGCTGCCCGCCGAAGTAGAGCACCGATCCGACCTGGACGGGCCGCCGCCCGTGGAGGCCAGCCGAGTCCCTGGAGGGTCAGAGAGTCGGGGGCCTTCAGACACCTCTCGGCGGAGAGGCACCGGAAGCAGCAGCAGCAGGAGGAGAGACAAAGGCGGAGACGGGGGCCGGAGCGAGAGGCGGAAGGGAGGAGCAAAGCGGAGCACGAGGCGGAGCACGAGGCGGAGCACGAGGCGGAGCACGAGGCAGGGCAGAGGAAGCGATCGCGAAACGCGAGACAACCTAAACGGGCTCGCCATCCGTTGCGGCCCGTGCCGGACACAGCACTCTACGAGACATCGTCTACCTCCGAGCCTCCTTCCTCCACCCCCTCCGACTCAAGCTGCCTCCTGCAAGATGCAAGGGATATATGAATACGGGCTTCCTCGCGCACCACTTGGCCGCAACTCTGGGCTGTGCTGGGAAATTTAAAACGCGTTCTACAAGAAATGGAACTGCCATCGTGGACAGTGATCGACAGCATGAAGTGGAACCCCTCCTCACCATCCTCCTTGGCTTGTTCAATGTCCTCCTCCTCCTCCTCCTCCTTCAGTGTATTACCACTTTGCCTCTCAACTGCCAGTAACCCTGAAAGTGGAGCAATCGCGACCAATGCCAACACAGCTGCCACAGGCACGATGCTGGACTTGGAACGCACCATTGCCGGCACGAGACTGGATAGCTTGCACCACGCGGTTGACACTCTCGCCTTTTACGTCAAAGCGCTTGATCCGAAATAGGATGGTGACAATGACTCAGAAGAACAAGAGGAATCTGACAAGCTGGTTGCCCAAATAGAAGATCAGACGATCAGCATGTATCTAGCCATGAAGCTAACACCGCATTGCCAACCACAGGCGAAGTGAAATGACTGTCAACATATGCTTATCGATAGCAGCGGTAGAAAAAGGGAATTTGCGGGGGGAACACATGTCCGCCAACGTGCTGCGATGCACCGAGTGAAGTGTCCTCAGGCCCCTTCGATCAAATCTGGGGAAATAAGCCAAGGGCCCAGGCCCCGCAGTTCAGACGCTCCTGGGCGCCCTCGGCGGAGCCCATCGCAAGTTTTCCAAAAAGCCCACAAGCCCCGTGGGCAGAGGTGGGTTAAGCACCTCGTTAGTTCTTCTCCTCCGGGGAGCCCCTACACCATCCCCTGGGTATGCACGAGAGGGGCCGCGAGGGGTTAGATCGTGCAAGATGGCCCAATATGCCTCCATAGCGAATTTTGTGGACGCTTGCTTGGAAAACATCCGCCCACCCCAACAAAATGTCTTAGTGAAAGGCCCAGACATATGCAATTGTGAGTACCGCCATTCTGAGAACCGCCTTCGGTGGAGCTCCGTACGTAGCCACGAAACACGTGAAGGGAACGCCAAAATGGGGCGGGGCCGCAGTGCGGGAGCTGCCGCTGTGGCCGCCCGCTGAGGGCGCGGAGGCCAGCCGAAACGGGTCACATGCTGATGTAACCCGTTGCGGCTGACAGGCACCGAAGAAGCGGGAGAAGATATGCGGGCGCAACCACTGGGGCCTTCGGAGGAGCTCCCTGTGGGGCCGCGAAGCGTGTGAGGGTGTGCCAAAGTGATAGGGGGTGGCGGCATGCGAACGCAACCACTGGGGACTTCGGTGGAGCTCCCTATGGGGTCGCGAAACGTCTGAAGGGTGTGCCAAAGTTGTGGGGGTGGCGCTATGCGAACGCAGCCACTGGGTCTGTTGGTGGAGCTCCCTATGGGGTCGCGAAACGTGTGAGGGGTGTGCCATAGCGATGGGGGTGGCGGCATGCGAACGCAGCCACTGGGGCCTTCGGTGGAGCTCCCTATGGGACCGCGAAACGTCTGAGGGGTGTGCCAAAGTGAGCGGGGTGGCGGCATGCGGGCGCAGCCACTGGGGCCTTCAATGGAACCCCCTCGTGGGGCCACGAAACGTGGAAGGGTGTGCCAAAGTGAGGGGGGTGACGGTTTGCGGGCGCAGCCACTGGAGCCTTGGGGCCACGAAACGTGTGAGGGTGTGCAACAGTGAGGGGGTTGGCGGCATACGGGCGCAACCACTGGGGCCCTGAGGGGTGTGCCAAAGTGACGGGGGTGGCGGCATGCGAACGCAGCCACTGAGGCCCTTAGGTGGATCTCTCTATGGGGCCACGGAACGTGGGAGGGGTGTGCCAAAAGTGAGGGGGCAGGCGGCATGCGGGCGCAGGGTAGAGCTCCCCATGGGGCCACGAAACGTCTGAGGGGTATGCCAAAGTGAGGGGGATGGCGGAATGCGGGCGCAGCCACTGGGGCCTTCGGAGGAGCTCCCTATGGGGCCACGAAACGTCTGAGGGGTGTGCCGAAGTAGACACGTGAAAGAGGAGGGGATATGACGGCGATGATGATGACAATGATAGTGGTGGAGACTAGGCTGGCTTCCCGGCCCCCCCAAAACTAATAAGGATTTTGGCGGATTTTGGCCCTCGAAGACCCTGGAGTACGCGGCAACCCGCGGCAACCTCAACGGCATGGCTGTTGCGAGGCGTCTGCGCGGCAGCAGCGTCCAACGACGCGGATCGATCGCGGCCCTCGCGCGTAATCTGCGTTGCCCCAGCAAGGAGGCAGCGTGGCATATGCAGGGAAACAGCGCTCATACAGCATGGCAACAGCCAGGCGTCCGCATGGCAAGTGCATGGCCGTAGCTCGGCCACTGAACGACATACGTTAGGCAACCGCGTAGCAGTAGCACGGCAAACACACGGCAATCGGAAGGCGCTCGCACGGCAACACTACTGCAATCGCACGACAGTGGCATGGCAACTGCACGGCAACTGCATGGCAACACCGTGGCGACAACATGGCAACAGCATGGCAACGGCATGGCAAGCGCATGGCAACAGCATGGCAACAGCATGGCAACGGCATGGCAACAGCGTGGCAACTGCATGGCAACGGCATGGCAAGCGCATGGCAACAACATGGCAACAGCATGGCTTCAGCATGGCAACGGCACGGCCACGGCATGGCAAGCGCATGGCAAGCGCATGGCAACAGCATGGCAACAGCACGGCCTCGGCATGACAACGATATGGCAAGCGCATGGCAACAGCATGGCAACAGCATGGCAACAGCATGGCCACGGCATGGCAATAGCATGGCAACAGCACGGCCAGGGCATGGCAACGACATGGCAAGCCCATGGCAACTGCATGGCAACGGCATGGCAACGGCATGGGAATGGCGTGGCAAGCGCATGGCAACAACATGGCAACAGCATGGCAACATCATGGCAACAGCGTAGCAACAGCATGGCAACAGCAAGGCAACGGCATGGCAAGCGCGTGGCAACAGCATGGCAACAGCTTGGCAACGGCATGGCATCAGCGCGGCCACGGCATGGCAACGTCACGGCAATAGTATGGGAGCCCCATGGCAACAGCATGGCAACTGCATGGCAAATGCATGGCAACAGCGCGGCCACGGCATGGCAACGGCATGGCAAGCGCGTGGCAACAGCAGGGCAACAGCATGAAAACAGCATGGCAGAGGCATGGCAACCGCATGGCAACTGCATGGCAACGGCATGGCAACGACACGGCAACGGCATGGCTGCGGCATGGCAACAGCATGGCAATAGCACGGCCTCGGCATGGCAACGGCCTGGCAAGCGCATGGCAACAACATGGCAACACCATGACAACAGCATGGCAACAGCACGGCCACGGCAAGGCAACGGCATGGCAAGCGCATGGCAACGGCATGGCATCAACATGGCAACATCATGGCACCGGCATGGCAACAGCACGGCCACGGCATGGCAACGGCATGGCACGCGCATGGCAACACCATGGCAACAGCACGGCCACGGCATGGCAACGGCAAGGCAACTGCGTGCCATCTGCGTGGCAGTCGCATGGCACTAGCATGGCAGCTGCGTGGCAATCGCATAGCAATAGCATGGGAGCCCCATGGCAGCAGCATGGCAACAGCATGGCAACGGCATGGCAACAGCGTGGCAACTGCACGGCCACGGCATGGCAAGCGCATGGCAAGCGCATGGCAACAACATGGCAACAGCATGGCAACAGCACGGCCACGGCATGGCAACGGCATGACAAGCGCATGGCAACGGCATGGCAACAGCATGGCACCAGCATGGCAACAGCGCGGCCACGGCATGGCAACGGCACGGCAAGCGCATGACAACGGCATGGCAACAGCACGGCCACAGCATGGCAACAGCATGGCAGCAGCATGGGAACAGCGTGGCAGCAGCGAGGCCACCGCATGGCAACTGCATGGCATCAACATGGCCACAACATGGCAGCAGCATGGCACCGGCATGGCGGCAGCACGGCAACAGCATGACATCACGGCAACGGCATGGCAACAGCATGGTATCGGCATGGCGGCAGCGAGGCCGCCGCACGGCATCAACATGGCAATGACATGGCGACAGCATGGCAACAGCACGGCCACGGCATGGCAACGGCAAGGCGAGAGCATGGCAACAGCATGGCAGCAGCATGGCAAGAGCATGGCATCAGCATGGCAGTAGCATGGACGCAGCATGACAATGGCATGGCATCAGCATGGCAACAGCATGGCAGCAGCATGGCAACGGCATGGCAGCAGCACGGCAACAGCATGGCAGAGGCATGGCAACCGCATGGCAACAGCTCGGCCACGGCATGGCAGAGGCAGGGCAAGCGCATGGCAACAGCATGGCAACCGCATAGCAACAGCATGGCAACTGCACGGCCACGACATGGCAACATCATGACAAG